TTTTTATTTTTATTTTTATTTTTATTTTATTTTTATTTTTATTTTTTTTACTTTTATTTTTATTTTTATTTTATTTTGTTGTGTTTTATTTTATTTTATTTTATTTTGTTTTATTTTGCTTTGCTCTGTTTTCTTTTGTTTTGTTTTGTTTTATTTTATTCCCCCCCCCGACATTTTGATGCCCAACTTACAGAAGCATGTAAGATCAGCAGGATGGCAATTACTACACGAATTGCCTGGAAGTCATTCCCATTCAGAACCCGAGCTTTTGTTATCATTACATAGCCTTACCAATATTTTATTTGTGGATTTTGGATATGTCATTCAGAAATAAAACTGGCCAGTCCAGAGTCCAGAAAATAACTTTTTTTTTTTGGTGTGATTTTTGGTGTTTTTTTGGTGGTTGGTCTTGTTTAAACCCACTAGATGACTGTGGATGTTACCACTTAATTTCAAGCAGTCTGGTGCAATTCTTGCATTAATTAGTGAGATGCACAGACTGAGTAGGGGACTCTTAACAGGCACACTGCAATGGGATGTATATATCTAAAACCTGCCCTGCTTGTGGCAAAAGGCATCTAAAACACAGTTATAGTTATTCCTACCTGTTTTTAAGGCAGAGCAATGAAGGAATATTGCTCTGAGGCTGTATTCTCTTCATTTAGCTCTGCTGCTGTTTGTAAAATTTTCACTGTGCTCACTGAACCAGCTGATATTTTTTTTTTTTTTTTGTCATTTTGACCTTACAAATAAAGCCAAACCGATTCTTTTCTGCGAAGTGAGAGCCCTGTTTCTGGGCAATCAGGCAAGAGCAACCTGCAATGTTTACAGCTGGTAGCATACGTGTTATCAAAACCCTCAGTATATCGATGACAACTCCTGTGTGCAAAAACAATTGATAAACCAAGGCAGGTGACATCAAAGGCTCGGTGGCTGTTTTTAAGTAATAATGGTGAAGCCTAAACCACCCCCTGCAGACAGAAAGAGGCTGCAAAGCACATTCCCAAGGCACCAGTCTCGTGCAGGATCACATCTACTTTGGCAATTTGTTCCTGACAAATGCTTTGAACCTAATCCGTTCCAGTGGCAGAGTTTAGATAGCTTGGCAGACTCTTTTCATGCTTAAATACTTGGAGATCTTAACTTTTTCCCTCCAAATTATTCATCAGAATAGGCCCGCCTGAAAACCAAAATAATTTCTTTTTCCTGCTCTTGGTGGCAGCATTTTCCATGCTGTGAAGCCTTAGTCACTGCAGAGGACTCCTCAAGGTTTCTCTGACAGCTGATACCAAATACAATTCCAGGTCCCTTATTTGAATTATTTCCCTCTAAATGCTCACATCTGTTTATAGCCCTTCTTAAAAGATAAAGACACAAAGCAGAGTCAATACCCTGAGCATTCACTGCAGTTAATAAAACAGTTGCCTCTTGTGCCTTACAAACTCCTTTAAATCATACTCACAAGTCACTCGCTTCCTTTTTCACCACATCATGTGGTTTGCTAATGGTCTGTTTCAATTTCTCTAATATTTCCAGGCATATTGCACCTTTTTTGAGCTGCAAAAATGCAACCTAGACAGTTTTTTGGTGACCATTTTAGAGTTTTTCCCTTTCCTTTTTATTTTGACTTCAAACTATTCCATTATAATTTACCTAACTTATTTCTGATATTTTTTTCCAGCTAATCAAGACTCCTTTGGATTTTAGCCTATCCTCAGGAGCACTGGTAGCTCTTCCAGGGTGCATTTTCTCGTGCTTAACAAGAAAAGAGTGCACACTCCTGCATACAATTTCTTCCACAAAAAATACCAAACAGCACTACATTGAATTCTTGCAGACCAATTACATTATTTGGGGAAAAGGCATAAGTAAAAACCAAGAGTTTTAAAAGTCATTATGTATATAAATAGTTGATATAAAGAGTTGGAAGACAAAGCTGTTCAAATTTTATACCCCATTTTCAACTGGATAATTGGTTCAAAATACTTGAGAAGAAACAAAGAGATAAATCTTTTGTTCTGCTTTTAGAAAACCACGGTAAAACAATACAGGATTTTTCACTGGCTTTCACTGCCAGAAGTGCAGCTTTATCTCCTGTTCCATGTTCTCTCCAGAAACTGCAGTTTACACATGACAATTCTGAAAGAACAGGTTTTCCAGTCTGTATTGCAAAGAATGTTTTCCTGAGCAGTAGCTTGAAAGATCCCAGGTAAACCTTCAACAGTAACTTCATCCAATGTTTAGTTTTAATAAGATTAATTTCCTACATGTTTTATCACAGGTCACTTCAAAAATTTACTATTGACATTAATTTCCATGTGTGTTTAGGTAATTTAATGTCAGTCTTATGTCTTTGGTTCTGTGTCTCACAATGAGTGGCTGCATATCCAAGGAGGTAACAACTATATCCATTACCATAACTTATTAATATATAATTGCATATTATCATGCTTGTCCAGATCAATGAGACATTTCCTATATGGAATCTTTATCACATTTCTTCCATGTGACCCTTCATAATGGAAGTTTCTTTGATAAGCTAATGAACCTGCCACCCTTTGAGGTTTAATATTATTCCTGGATTCATTTGCACTATCATTTCTGTAGTAAACCGTTAGGTATGACTGCTTGCAAAGATTATTTGTATCTAAACATCATTTTTTAAACAACAAATAATTCTGTATCTAATAATTCCCTGTAGTTGTGTTGATGATAGTAACAGCAATAAGGAAATTGTTTTTGTAAGAAGCCAGATATCTCACAGTGTTGAAAAAATATAATGTGCCACAAGAAAAACATACATTCAAAATATTCCTTCCAACTTCTGTACCAGCGAGGGAACCTGCAAACCCCCGGGAATCCTGGTTTCCAATCCTAGAGGGTTGGAAATTCCCTTCTGTGCCACAGAAGGCAGAGCTCAAAGTCTTCAGCCCAGATTAATGTATAGACACCAAGGAGATGCACAGGTCTGGCTTCCAATTAAGTGTGGAGGGAACTGGACAGCAACCACAAAAAATGTCAAAAGGCAAGGATGCACCATAGGTAAAGCTGTTATCATTACTTTTGTGTCGTTTTTACCATAACTATTAACAGTGATTTCAACAGCAGAGCAACAGAACGACAGAAGGCCTGACACTACATTCAGGGTGAAGGACTTCAGGCAGTATCTCC